ACTGCACACAATATAAAAAGTGCATAATTACCCCAACATAGATAAAATCAGCATAGAATCCATAGTATAGATGAGAATGCCTCCAAACATAGTTCTATTGTCTTCTCCAGCCATTCCCCATAGACCTCATAAACAGACCAGCGATCAGTATGTGCATTGAAAGGTAAACATATTTTATTGTAGCAACTTACATTGAAATTTGATGAAAACCGCTTCCATGTAGTGAGATAGTCCAAAAAACCAACTCCTTAGCGGTAACTCTTTTTCCAACACCCTTTAAAACTCAGGAGAGCCAGGCAAACGTGGAAGTCTCCAGGGTTGGAACAACCGCGTGTTCCAGAACCCAAAATGGCCGCCACGGCACTTCCGAAAAAAACGTCAATACGTCACCACGTCACGTGCTCCGGACGCGTTTCGTCACATCCGGACTTTTTCAACAGGGATACGGACGTGTGCCCTCCAGGGACTAAATCAGGGCCCTAATCTACTTGTCCCTCATGACAATCTACTTGTCCTGATGAAAAAAAAAAAATGTTTTTAACCAAAACAGTATTTAAATCTGAGTTGATTTTAGGAATGTCTGGGGCTTTTAAAAACAAAAGGGGCTTTATTGCGACTTAAACGTGTAATATTTTTACCATTGCACTGTTTATCTCCTCCCCTCCCTGCCTGTCTCCAGCACCACACCCGGGGACAAGCAGGGAGGAGAGAGACCTTTGCAGTGTAATGAGTCCCGATTGGCTGCTAGTCAGGAAAGGAGGGGGGGGCAGGGCTTATACTTGATCCCTTTAACTACCAGAGTTGTTTTTGCGTTTTCGCTGCCAGAGCCATTTTTACTTTTTTTGCACAGGTTTAAAAAATAATTTTAGGCATGAAGATTGCATATAACCCCCAAACTTTATATATTTTCTGAAAGCAGAGACCTTGGAGAATAAAACAGTGGTAGTTCCAATTTTTTATGTTGTATATTTTACTACAATTTTGCGGTATAATCATGCAAGTAAGTTAATTTTAGGGCACAAAAAAGCAATAAATTACCCTATTTTTTTTGTAAAATCTAAAAGATGAGGTTGCAGCAAGTAAATAGATATCCAACTTGTCAAACCTTAAATTTGTGCGCGCTCGTAAATGGCGGCGTACTTCAGTACCCTATATTTTCTATAGGTCGACACTATTAAAGCTCCTTATAGGTCACCAGTATAGTGTTATGGAGGAGGTCTGGTGCTAGAATTATCGCTCTCATCCTGGCGTGTGCGAGATATATGACATGAGTATTGCAATTGGCAGTTTCATGCATAGACACCCCAGCGTGTGCTTTTACTTTTGTACGTGTGTATATGTGGGGATGGGGGCCTCAATATTTTTTTTGAGGGGGGGATGGTATTTGCTTGGGTGTAACTTTCATTTTTTCCATCACATAAGGAACAAAGTCCCCTATGTGATGATTTTTGGTGACAGGCTCTCTTTGAGAAGTACAAGGTCTAAAAGACCCTGCATGTCTCCCCTCTGTTCCACTGAATGTAATGTGGTGCACATTGCACCATACTACATTCTTTTCCGGGGATTGTATTGCAATCTCTCATTAGGGACCCAGAAGTGACATCGTGATGTCACTTCCGGGTCAGCACAAGAAGAGGAGGGGAGTGGACTGGTCCGCTGTTCTTCCTCCCCTTCAGCCGACAGCAAGCCGGGCCTGCAGATGGGCAAGTGGAGCCTGGGAAACCTTGGGGCGGCGCAGAGAGGCTGGCACTGTGTGAAAGAAATCGGCGGCAGCGCTGCCGCCGATTGCTTCACCTGACAGGTGAACCCGCTGCTTGCCCGCAGCAGGGCTAAAGGAGGAATAAAAAACTACCTGCCCAGAACTACATGTCCCAGGCATCGGGCGATAGGAATTCAACGTCCCTGATATTACTCTATGGAGATGGTTCACATCTCCACTCCCAAGTCGCCTGAAGCTCAAAAAAGTTTTGGAGCTACTTTTGTAGCTCCATTCAGAAAGATTCATGCATTTTTGCTGGTTTTGTAGCACGACCAAGAATGTTTTTCTGGCATGGCAAAACATGGCAGCAATTGATGTCACAGATTACATTTTTCTCTATTAGCCAATATAAAAACGCCAGAACTCATAAGGCCTGAAAACACCTGAACAAACCGCGCACAAACGTTTGCAAACGCGCATTAAATCGAGTGCCCACGCATGAAAAAATGCACAGAAATGCTACGCTCAGATGTGAATGGAGCCTTTAACTGGTGCCAGCGTCACTTCGGACAGGAGCTGCTGTCAGTTATTTTACTTCAGGGTAGTACAACGGGCATGTTAACAAGGGACTTGGCAAGCTGACAGTGGGACTGAAGGCATGCATTTCTGCAGTGTTTTGTAGTTCCAGTGATGACAACACTACCACGGGATTTGCAGCGAGTGGTTAGCGTTGTCTGGCCTACACAGGAAGCGCTGAAAAGGGACAAATAGCTGGCAGCATTACCCAGGATTTATTTCTACTTTTCAAGGACTATCAATAAAATATACATGACATGAGGATTCACATTTCTTAAGAGAGCAAATTAGAATATTTTATCTTTACATACACTTTAAGGCTACATGTGCACTGGAACTGGCAGAGACGTTAACTCTACTAGCAGCAGAAAACCGCGACATTGCGTTTAGCGCTTGGATGTTTATTCATTTTATTGGCCCGAGTATTTGCCATTGAAATAAACACCCAAGCGCTTAATGCATCTGACATTTTTTTGGCCAAAATGTTCCTGAATGCAGAAGAATCGCTTTCAGAAGGACATTTAATTGCGCCTAAACGCTGCTGCTGATAAACTCTAATAAGAGCCTTCATGTACATGGACACATAGGCTTTTATTGAGTTGAGTTCAGGGGCTTCGGTAAAAAATGCCAAAAGCTACTAAACTCACATTTAGGAGCAGCAGTGTACATGAGGCCTAATTAGCTCCCATTAGGATTGTATATAAGAGGTGCCTACAAACTTTATTTCTTGGCTCTGGACCAATATAAACAATTCTGTGTTCTCTGTAAAACACTGCAAAATATGCTGGTTCTATATACATTAATAAAAAAGAAATAGATACAGAATGAACTATTTGACAACAAAGTACAATTTATTGCTCTGCTAAGGAAAATGTGTTCTTTCCATGGAGCTGAATATATGGTACTTTTCAATCACTAGTGGTGGTAAGCTATAATAAAGCAGGAAATTCGTGCTAAATTTATGTCAACATCATTTTGAGAGCAGCCCCTTGCCCTATACAGGCAAAATAAAGAATGGTCTTTCTTTAAGAGTCATAAATGAGGCTAATTTTAGAGGTCAGTCAATCCTCATCTGGCTTAGCTAGAGAAACTTGGCTCTAATGCTCAAACACAAGTGATGTTTAGACAGTTGGGTGCTTGCTCGATCCTCTGGGACTTATTTGTGGCTCGCTTGCCTTCTGCTAGAATGTTTTCAATTCTAAGGTTGCATGTCACATAATACTTTTGATAGCCCAATGGTGAAAATTGCAGATACAAAATGATAGGACTTCACCAAACAAAGAAGCAATAGAAAGCTGCAAATAATTGCTGCTGATTATGTTTCCTAATAATGGTTTGCAAATGTTTAAGAAGTACAGCGAACTTTATGTCCTTTCTCAATAAACCATATCAGGAGTTCTCATGTATTTCTTCATTTTATTCAGCAATAAGTTCAATATTTTTCATAGTCTGCAAGTATGAAAAATTGTCACAAAAAAAAAAAAAAAAAAAGCTGAATACATGTAGCATTGGATCAAGGCACATACAATACTGGCCAAAGGAGCATACAATGCACCTTGGCATTTATCTGAAAAAAACAAACAAACAAAAAAAAAAACATACAATAGGGGGGGAGGGGGGTGTATGGCAACAAAAATGTATTTCTCTTAAATATTAAATTAACGGAAAGGCAATATAACATGATGGATATTTAAAAAAAATGATATATAGATTATGATGTAGTAATGGGCACCATGGATTGGTTGGCAGCTATATATTATGATGTTAAAAGTAAATATCTTATTTTTTGTGTGTGGGAGAGGGGGGGGGGAGTTAAACTTTATAAAATGTGATATATTTGAGTGCAAATGTTTTATTTAAGTAAATATTTAGAACATTTAAATTTAAATGACTACATTGAGAACAGTTGATCCTTCTTTGTTTTTACTATTCGGCTCAAATGTATGCTTTTGGTGGGAAAGTATAATAATGTTGAGATATCTTTTACACGGTCTCTAAAAGGTTATATTTAGTGTGGATCATGTATATAAACACGGATCCAGTTTCAGGTTTTACTGTAATTCTAATAGTTGAAAAAATGTATGGGGATGTATTTGTGCTATGGGATAGTAGACTATCAGTACTTTTTTGTGGTACATTAATGCCCATTACTACACACATAGGGTTTTGTTTCTGTTTATTGAATAATGTTGTATACAGTTTTTGTTTGTTTACAGACCCATCAATACTGTTGTTTTATTTTGTTTTGTAGCTACATTTTATTTATACCATGTTTAGAATGATATGCAAAACCGGCCTGTGCTTATACTACAAAGGTCAGAAAAAAATACAAAAAAAAAAAATCCTGATTGTTCAACACAGCAGGAAAAAAAAAATAAAAATTCACTTTCACAGTCAACAAGTCATTTTACTCAGTAGAACACAAAAGAAGAGTTAAATGGTCTGTAACTTCAATATTAGCAAGGAAAATACAGTACAAATTACAAAAAATACTAAAATAGAGAATTGTTGTCAGGCAACAAACTACATTTAATTGTAGCAGCAACCTGAAATTTTGAAACTTTTAATAAAAAAAAAGTTCTTAAATATAAATTATATGGCAAATGTACAGTACATTGCTCCTTCAAAGTCTTTGTGTCATTTTTTAAATCCAGTGTTTTGCAGTAGAACAGTGAATCCCATTCACTCATGTGAGTCTCTATAAAAAGTTTTGTGCCTCTAATCATCATGAATGTGAATGGTCAGAATCTGGAATACCACTGTCTCTGTAGCTTCTGTTACTGCTGCTTTCACTGTGACTGGTTTTGTACAAGGTTACTCCATTGGATGGGAATATAGTGTGTAATATAAACTCCTCCTTGGTCATTGGATCGCTATTTATTGGTATCATCTGAAAAGAGGTCTCCCTAATTTCTAAAATGGAGTTGTCTTTTTTAGTCCCTGCTTCTGCATAATCATCTTTTCTTCTCCGGCCCTTGCTGTAAGCACAGTTCCTGGAAAACAAGGATCCGTTCCGGTGGACATACCAACAAACCAATGCAAGGAGCGTGATTGCCACTAGAGCCACTGCTCCACCTATGATAGCTGCTAGAGGCAAATTGGAATTTTTATAAGGCTCCTTCTCCTGCTCTCTATTTAAAGTTGTGGTGGGGTTATACATTTTAAGTGGGGCAGTCTCTGTTTCAATACAAACAGGTGTTTCATCCAATAAAAAGAAGTTTCCGGTTTCCATGGGAACCATACATATACGGTATGGTGACTCTGGCTCAAGTGCTGTGAGCAAATATTCCGTTCTGTCACCTGTCACAATGGTTTCTGTAATAGATCCAAACACTGGGCTGTGGCCTAACTGCCAGCTAAGTCTTAGTGACTTCATTGGTAAAGCAATTTTCCAGGAAATGTGGATGGTCTCAACAGTGACCGCTTTTACGTTGATTGTGATTATTTTCCTCACCGGTATTGGTGTGGTTCGGTAGATTTTGTTAAGGTCAGGTGGCCTGATTTCCGGCTGTTTGGTCACAGATACTGGCCTCTGACCTTGTGCTGGCAGCAAAGTGTTTAACATAGTTGTTGTTGTAATCTGTATAAGATTTTTATCAAATCTGTCTTTACAATCAAATAATTCTTTGTTAAGGTCTTTAATGGTCATTCCCCTAACACGCTCCGGTGCTTGGCACATCAGCCCACGAACATTAACTTTGGAAGGCAAAGACTGAAGCCAGTCACGTACCCATTTCATTTTGCAGCCACAATACCAAGGATTGTTGCGTAGGAATAACTGGGTCAAATTATCCAAATCATCAAAAATACCCTGAGGTAAAGATGTCAGATTGTTGTTTGACATGTCAAGTCGATAAAGTTGGGTAAGGTCAGCAAAAGCATTGGGTGGCACATAATTCATATGATTCTCTTGAAGATAAAGCTTTCTCAAATTTGCACCTGGCAGATTTGCAGGGGGAGATAACAGAGAATTTCGAACCAGTGACAGCTCTGTCAGATTGACCAAATTCATAAAGACCCTTTCCCCAAGGCCACTATTGGTTAAGAGATTTCCATCCAAAACAAGACGTTTTAGATTTGTGAGGTCCTGCAAAGAGATCTCTGCAATAGTGGAAATTCGGTTATCATCCAAACGTAGCTCTTCGATTGTTCGAGGCAGACCCCAAGGTATTGTGCTTAGGTGATTTCGAGAAAGGAACAGAAGACGGAGATAAATGTTGTCTCGAAATGCCCCATCCTCAATGCTAACTGCAGACACAGAATTATCATCTAGATGTAGCTCCTCAATTGCAGGAATCTGTGAAAGTGCATCATAGGTTATAGTCCTTATATTATTTTCCTGCAGGTGCAGCTCTTTAACATTTTTTGGGAGAGATTAATTGGAAATTCATCTAAACTGTTCCGGTATAGGTAGATCCTTTCCACTTTGTCCAGGCCTCTCAGGTCAGAAGGTATCCCAGCATTGTTGATCTGATTATTTTGAAGGTAGAGAGTTGTAGCATCCTCTGGTATCCCCGAAGGAATAGATGTCAAATCCCTATCATTGCAATAAATGAAACCTCCATCACAGCGACATGCTGAAGGGCAAGGTTTGGCACTGACGTACTGGGGAGCCAGTCGAAGTAACAGTAACATCTGAGTCCAGGCAACAAGAAAGTTCCACGCTTCTGCATTCATGGTCATAAGGGATGAAGCAATCAATACCTGTAAGATCACAAAAAAAAAATTAACATCTCTGTAGTCTTTCATCCCTAAAACGAATCATTTCTCCTAAAGAAGACCTATCAAGAGTCCTTATCCCTTAATCCTGAATACATAGAATCCTGCAATACATAGTAATAAGTAAAATATATATATATATATATATATACATATATACATACATATATATACACACATATATATATATATATACATACATATATACACACACATATATATATATATATATATATATATATATATATATATATATATATATATATATATATATATATATATATATACACACTACTGCAAAGTCATTAGGAATTAAATAACTTTGCCATGCCCACATCTTAGTCTAGGAAGGAGATGATGACCCTGAATGATGCCAGAACAAAGATGATGTCACCATCTGGGGAAAAAGGAAGTTGAGGTCAATGTCAGTAGGTGTACTATGGTCTCCCTAAGGCTATATGCTTTTATGGCAATGAAAACTATTTTACACAGATAGTTAAAGTGGAACTTCACCTGCTCAATCAATATTGACTATTTTTTAATTCTTAAGCTGCTATCTTCAGTAAATAGGAAGGTATATTGTTTTAAACTTTTTTTTTTTTAGATTTCTTCAGTTGCTTCCTAGTTTCCATGCCTAGGCAGATTATGTCCTACATCCCAGAAGTCTTCAGCAGAGGAGTTGGGGCTTTATTAGCTAAGCACACCCTCGTGTCTGCATGCCTGAGTTAAGGGCGTGTGGATTCCAGGAAGTAAATGACACATCAATCATCCGCCCTTACTCAAGATGATCACGGCCAGAAATACTAGGAGGTGTTTTCTCAGCAAAGTGATTTCTCAGCAAAATAAAGCATGGACACTTGGATGGATAGGGGAGGTTACTTTGAATATTAATAATGAACTAAACAGCATTTTCAGTTTGTAGTGCTCAGATTCAGTGTAGTCCCGCTTTAAGGACATGTATAGAAAGTAATATTGTACTAATGTTAAGTTTAGCAATGAGGTTGTTCTTTAATTTGGCCAATTCCATTGGAGTATCTCGGTATAGATAGCACATTTTGTAGGTTTTGGTCCTGTAAAGTATTCTGATTGTGTTCTAAAGTGTAATTCACTATGGGGAGATGTGAAATTTGGAGCTGTAATAGGTTTATGGATACATGAATTGATAGTTTATAAAAGTTAACTATCATGCTACATATGGAGCAAAACTATTTTTTTATATTAAGACTGCAACCACCGTATTTTCCTGTTTCTACCGCCTACTAAAAATATCAAAAACAAAACTGGGAGTAAACAAAACAGAAGTACCAGATTTCCCAGTCCCATATAGAAGGGCCTGTAATCGTGCTTTTAGTAGCATTCCGTATTCATCTCACATATACTTTCACTGTTCAGTGCACATTGGCAAACTAACCCACAGGGCTATGTCATTTGAGGGATTTTTAAAAGCAGTGATTTGCTTCTACAAAACTCTTCCAATGCTTTTGGTGCCAGAGAAAATAAATTCCAGTCAGTGGAAGGGCTATGGCATAGCCTCTCCTGCAGTTTTATTACCTAGTTGTTTGAGAAATTCACTTTTAGCAGTGTTTCAAACTGTACACAAAACTGCTAAACTCTGTGGCTACCCATGTTATCCACTATAGCATAGAATAATCATGTCATATCAGCAATTATGAGCTGCGTATACATGTACTTTAGTCAGCTACAGCAGAAAGTTTTAAGCCAAACTGCTTATCGCCAAAGGCAATATTTGAGATTTCTAGCTGCTGCAAACTCGCTCAACCATCATTCAGGAATCAACATTTTCCAGCACGCCCACTTAAAGCTTCTACTCTTGGACAACACTGGTTTTATTTTCAGTCTGCAAACAAAGTGTAGAACAACTATACGCTTGTAGTATACAGCAATTTCTCATTGCATGCAGGTGCCTTTCTATTTGTGTGTACTATTCCCTATCTCATACATTACCAGGCATGGTTGAAATGATTGTGGATATTGATGCTGCAAAGGTGTTACTGACACAGAAGATTCTAAATGACATTCTGCGTTACAGCCTGTGTCATGACACCCTTTATTTTTATCAGAGGTTTTTTCCTTACTTGTTTTCTTCCCCTCCTTTATCAGCACTTAATAGGAGCTAGACTAGACCTACCTGCTCAAGAAGTGTCAGATGATGTTCCCTTGAATCCTCCCGAGGGCAAGCTCTTGTGAAGTCCTTATGTTCCGAGAATAACGAGCTCTGGGTTATCTCATTTAGCAGTCCCTCTTTCGTAGTATTTACTCAAACAATCCTAACTCAAAGAAGAAGGTATAGAGTTTCATTTCTCTCTTGTCCACATCACAGCAAACGTTCACCACCGACACCCAAATCGAGTTTCCTGCGACCACGTGGTGATTCCTTCTTTTCCAATTAAATGTTTCTTTATAATCCCCTTTGGTTGTCTTTAATTTTTATGCCAGAAACTGCCTTTCCGTGTACAAAGGCTCCTCTGCAAGACCAGTAAAATTAACTCCACACCAGGGGAACGATTCATAATGTAAAAGCTTAAATAAATAGTGCATTCAAAGTAGGTACATGCTTCCCTGTGCAAATATCAGCCATGAATGCTCTCTGTACAGTAGTCACAAACCCCAAACATTGACACCCGCTGTGAAAACATTTCTGGCTCCAAGCTGGATGTGAAACTTGATTGTAAAAAATTAGTGGAAGATATATATCAGGAAGCGATTCGTTCTTTGTGAATTTGAGCAGTTTTCTTTAGTAAAAAAAAGAATATGATGTGCTCATTCCTTCTAAGGATTCCTTGCTGCAAGAACTTCCTAGAAAAAAAATAAACACATGTTAATTAGCAGTAATTGATAGGGAATATAGGCAGACAAGCTGACAACCGAATTACATGCCTTGGCTGATTGAGGTACATTCATTCATCTTTATAACACACTAAAGTCTTGACTCTGTTCTCAGCTCAGACCTCAAAAGATCCCAGAGGTCAGGAGCATGGTACCACTCGCTGCCACGTTTTCTAGTATTTCACATCAGCCATTCCTGTGCAGCCATCCAAGAGCAACTGTAATTGAAGTCAGCTTCAATCAACCAACTGCGGAGAAATTACTTTAGCAAACGGTGACACCTGTCTTTTCCGATTACAAACTCAAGCACAATCCCTTGCTGTCCACCACTTTTATACATGTAATAGATAACCAGGTCCGGGAGCCATTCCTGCTCAGTTGCACGCAAGAGCTAGGGTTGTGTTGTAGATTCTAGGCCAGGCCTTGGAACTGAATTATTTAAGGAAGCATTTGTACAACAAAATAACTTCAACCATTCTCTATACATACTGGCTAAGAAGCTTCTTTCCATGTTGTATCTGGTGCTGACGTAAAAAACTGGAGCAAAAATGTATCCGTCCCCCAGCAAATGAGAAAGAGGACTCCTGATGAACTGCTATGAGCACCATCTACTTTTTATAGAAGTCTTTTGCTAGAGATTTTGAATATTAGTTGAGCTAAATAAATTACGGAGTTTAACTTGTAAAAACTGGATAGTAAAAATAAGGATTAAGACCATGGGAAACCATGTTATGCAAACTTCAATTAAATAATAATAACAGAAAAAAGCACCAATAACATATCTGCCAGATGTATTTTTAGATGTACTTACAGCCTGGGCCCTAACACCTACCACTAATTGGTAAGTTCCCTTTAACATAGCAGTGTTAATCTTCTGTTTTGCTAGAACACTTCTACTACCCAAGAGACTAATAGTCTTTTGAATTTGGAAGTTGGATTTGAGATTGTAGTTAGGTTCTGAGATCTCAGCACTTTCATTGTAGAAATTGACTGCATAATAGCGCCCATATACTATTTTACACACGGGGGGGGGGGGGGGGGTGTAAAGAACTGCTCTATACCAACCTTTCCACTCAAAGACACCAACGAACACTTAAATGCTCTTAATTGTATTGGCTTTCAAAAAGACCCTTTTTAAAGTAAGCATTTAAAAGGCAGCCTTATGAATTATGGAGATGCTCAAATCATAATTCCTATCAGGTTCTGATTTGTACAAATCATTCCTGCAGATATTTTCGCTAGGCCTTTCTATGTAAGGGTCAACCTGCCAAGGTGCTGAGAGTGACAAGCAAAAGAATTTGAGAGCGCTGGAAATACTTGACCCTGAAATTAAGGAATGCCATAGCAGCAATTTGCTTCTCCACTCAGTAATTACATGGCATCCAGCAAGCAAAGCATCTGTTCCAGAATTAAAATGCTCCACAGTGCCAGTATGCTGAATAATAGATGCAGAAGACTTCTTTTATATAAACTAAATTCCATCTCCAAATGATTAAACTTTAACGATATAGGGCTAAGCTTACTGTGAATGTGGATACTGCTTAAGCAACGGTGCCCCTGGCCTAAACCATTTTAAAGACCGCTTTTCTCCTAATCTAAAGAAACTATTTAATTATTACATATGTAGGCACAAAGGGGGCCCAGTATCCTGTGGTATTTTGCAAGGATGCTAGATAGCTAGTAGACAATGCTAACACTTATTTACCAGCAGGCGTAGCATCTTCCTGAATCCAGATTAAAATGTAAGCTGCTTTTTTACCTTACACAGTTAACCATTAGTGTCTGCACTCAAATGTTTTTTTTTTATCGGTGTCTGCTTTGATTATTACCATGAGTTAAATTTGTTTTAACAACTGCTGAAGTGAATCACTGAAGCAGCTAAACGTACAATAAAGTATGTTTATGGCTTTTGCAATCTGTCTTCTCTTAATTAAAAAGCAGATTTTTTTTTTTTTATACCTACTGCTTTTTTTCCCATCAAAACATTCTTAAATTTTTTTTCTTTAATATTTTCCTTCATCTTGTCTGATGCCCCTGGCAACAACAGCTAGTGTAAATAAAATAAAGGCATGTGTTGACAATTCGCTCTATGGAAATCACTCTTTTCAACTTGTTGA